AGACTTGAAGACCGGCATAACTGAAGCCCTTTGCGCCTACTCCGTTGTTTTTGCATGGAGGCCGGAGGATATGCCGGGGATCCACCGAAGGGTCATCACTCACCGCCTGGCGGTAGACCCTTCGGCCAAACCAGTACATCAGCGAAGAAGGCCCCTCTCGGCCGAGAGGAGGGATTTTGTGAAGAAGGATGTTGACATGCTCCTCTCCATCAAGCACATCAAGGAGGTGAAATACCCCTCATGGCTGGCGAACGTGGTCCTCGCACAAAAGCCACCCACCTTCCGCATGTGCGTGGACTACACGGATCTCAATAAGGCGTGCCCTATGGACCCTTTCCCTCTGCCGAACATCGATCAACTGGTGGATGAGACTGCGGGGTGCGAAATCATGTCATTCCTTGATGCATTCCGCGGATATCACCATATTTTTATGCATGAGGAAGACGCAGAAAAAACAGCCTTCATGACTCCCGAGGGCATATTCTGCTATCTTGTCATGTCCTTCGGCCTGAAGAACTCAGGCGCCACTTACACCCGGAATGTGGCAAGAGTCTTTCAGGCCGTCCTAGGGCGCACCATGGAGGCCTATGTCGACGACATGATCGTCAAAAGCAAGCAATCAACAAACCATGATGACGACCTTAGGGAGATCTTCGCCATCAAGCAAAAATTCAACCTTCGGCTAAACCCGAAGAAATGCACCTTCGGCGTGCAAGGAGGCAAATTCTTAGGCTACATGGTGAGCCGAAGGGGTATCGAGGCCAACCCCAAAAAGATCCAGGCCATCGTCGACATGGAGCCCCCACGCAACGTAAAGGAGGTCCAGCGGCTGACGGGCCGCCTGGCAGCCCTCAACCGCTTCCTATCCAAGTTAGCGGAGAAGTCCTTACCCTTCTTCCAAATAATGAGGAAGACCGTCGGCTTCCAATGGACCTCAAAATGCCAGGAGGCCTTCGACGAGCTCAAAAAATACATTTCCTCCCCTCCTATGCTATCCAAACCCAAGGTAGGGGAAACTCTGTACCTTTACCTTGGTATCAGCCGAGCTGCCATCAGCTCAGTCCTCATCCGGGAGGAAGACGACGTCCAGCATGCCATCTTCTATGTTAGCAATACCCTCAGGGAAGCAGAGCTCAGATATTCCCCTATGGAGAAGACGGTGCTAGCCATCGTCTGGACCGTCAAGAAGTTAGGCCACTACTTCCAGGCCCATCCGGTCCAGGTCCTCACTCACCAACCCCTCGACGCTTTGATGAAGAGTCCCACCAGCTCCTCCCGGATGGTAAAATGGTCATCTTCCTCAGCCAATACAACATTGACATCCGTCTGAGGCCTGCCATAAAGAGCCAAGCCCTGGCGGACTTCGTGACGGAGTGCATGGCCAGATCAGCGGTAGATGAGGAGCCCTCGGCACCTCCGGATGAGTGGTGGACTCTCTATACCGATGGCTCCTCAGCCACCAAAGCATGCGGGGGAGGAGTAGTTCTCATTACCCCCGAGGGCTTCCGGGCCTATTATGCCATCCGCTTCTCCTTCAAAGTGTCCAACAACGAAGCTGAATATGAGGCCCTCCTCTGTGGCCTTCGGCTGGCAGCAATATAAAGGCCAGAATGATCCACGTCAAGTGTGACTCCAAGCTTGTCGTGGGCCAAATCTCCGGAGAGTATGAGGCCCAAGAAAGGAAGGATGAAATAATACAAGGAGGCGGCTAAAGAATTGCTTAAGGTATTTGAGGCACACTCTCTCACCCAAATACCGAGGGCTCAAAATTCTGAGGCTGATATTTTATCAAAGATTGCAATAATCGAAGAGCTCAGCCTCTCGAGCATACATGCGAGCCCCATCATTGATGTACATCTTAGGCCGGAGGACTGGATCTCCGACATCACCACCTTCATCACCACAGGGCAGCTGCCCGAGGATGAGGCCCACGCAAAACTAGCAAAACTGAGGGCTCCCAGCTGCACCCTCGAGAATTGAAGGCTTTACAAAAGATCTTACAACGGTACCCTCCTTCGATGCCTTCATCAGGATGAAGCCGAAGTTGCAATGGAGGAAGTACACAGTGGCACTTGCTCAGCTCATCAGGGACCCTTCTCCATGTCCCGAAGGCTCGTAGTCTAGGGTTATTTCTGGCCTACGATGGCCCGAGATTGTGCGGATCTCACTCGAAGGTGTGCTGCCTGTCAACACTTTCAGAAGGCTCCCGGCAGGCCAGCGGTCAACTATACCCCCATCAGCACGTCCATACCCTTCTCTAGATGGGGCATAGACCTTGTGGGCCCTCTACTGAGGGGTACCTCCAACAACAAGTACATCATCGTTGCCATCGACTACTTCACCAAATGGGTGGAGGGTGAGCCCCTCTCCAGCATCACCGAAGCTAGATGCCGCCACTTTGTCCTCAAGAACATCCTCACAAGGTTTGGCGTCCCTCAACAAATCATCACCGACAACGGGACTCAATTTGAGGCTGCCTCCTTCTGTGCCCTCCTAGAGGCATGGGGCATCAAACATACCTTCTCATCCATTGCCTACCCTCAGGGCAACGGACAAGTGGAGAACGCCAACCGAACTTTACTCAAGGGCTTGAAAAAGAAACTCGAAGCCGAAAAGGGAGGCTGGGTAGAAGAGCTCCACAACATTTTATGGGCCTACCACACCACCCCTCGGCGGGCAATAGGTGAAACACCCTTCTCCCTTTGTTACGGATTTGAAGCCAAGGCTCCCACTGAAGTAACCCTTCCTACCCGAAGGGTGGCCCAATATGATCCGGAAATTAACGACGCCAACATGACTCTTGACCTTCACTTCATCTCAGAACGGCGAGAGCAAGCCTTCATACGGGTGGAGAACTACCGAAGGCAAGTAAAGGGCTACATCGATACCAAGGTTCGTTCCCAAGAATTTCAGGTGGGGGATTACGTTCTCCGAAGAAGGGAAGCTAGCCAACCAACCGAGGGCGGTAAAATGGCACCCAAATTTGAGGGTCCATACATCATTGCAGCCGTCATCAAACCGGGAACTTACAAGCTCAAACGCCCCAACGGGACTGAGGTCCCCTGACATTGGAATGTACATCATCTAGTTAAATTTTATCAATAATAATGGAGTGGCCAAGCCCTCATAACTAATGAATGTATTATCCTACGGCCCAAGGCCCCCCAATTTTTGAAGAATGAAGACATATTGAAGACACCAAGAACGGAACACTTGTGAGCGGCCAACCCTCATACAAGCACCTGGCTCAAGGCCTTATTACAATCAAGACCTTTCGGCACCAAGTGCCGAGGGTAGACACCCCAATCACCTACCACAACGAAGAAAAACACCAAGTGTTTTCAACAAAGACCCCTCGACACCAAGTACCGGGGGAGTGTGCAAAAATAAACACCAAGTGTTATTTTTTAAGCCGTACCCCTCGAGGACGCATTTATGCTGAAGACCCCACCTCTCGGCGCCGGAGGTACCAAGTACCCCGGCTATTTTGCAACTAATATGAAAATAAAACCATTCCTGAAACGCTTTCCGCACCATTACCCCAAGGGAATGGCAGGCAACTAATATGCCTCAGGATTCGACTTTCAAAAACGAAACGCTCCCCGCTCCATTACCCCAAGGGAATGGCAGGCAACGGACTATGTCTCGAGCTGAGGGACGACTTTCAAAACTGAGGCGCTTTCCGTGCCATCCCCCAAGGGGAGGAAGGCGACGGGCTATGTCTCGTGCCGAGGAAACGACCCTCGATCCCCTCGGAACCCGGAAGGTTATCCTGAGGGGGAGCTAATGGTGTATACTGTTACCTCCCGATAGGCCAAGCCTTACCAAGAAACCAAGTTTCTTGAAGCTTTCCCTTCACTACGAAAAAAAATGGAGTGGAGGGGAGTAGACTCAACGAGCAATCAATGAGTACAAACCCCAACAAAACACCTTTCGGCAGTTCCTCACAAGGCATTCCAATCTCATAACGAAGGCTTCCTAGGGGAACACCTCTGGTAGCCGAAGGCTCTTAGTCAAGAAGTCACCTTTGACGATGGCTCTTACTCCGAAGGCTACTGTACGACAGACGTTGTCAAAAATAGGCCAAGTCCACTTTCTGGCTGCCTCCGGCGTCACCAATACCGAAGGTTCTAATCCCACAAAAGGGATAAAATTGGCTAAGTCCACTCAACAACAACTCAAGGAATACCGAAGGCATCCGCTTTCTGTCCTCCTTTACTTCAACAGGAATGTCCTACAAAATTTTCCTAAGTCCACACTTTGTGACCCACTATGGCCGAGGGTGAGTACTCACAAACATGCTCTTAAAGTCCAAATTTCAACAACCTCCAGCACTATGATCAACACCAGAGGCTAGTACTCACGGGGTCCGTTTACCGAAGGCCAAGGGACAAGTGACACTTAGAAAATTTTGTAGCCCTAAATGTTTGTCCCCCGATCAAATCTTCGCGCAGCCAGGGGGGTCACGCAACCGAAGGCTCAGTGGTAAAACTACACTTGGAAAAATTTCTAAGTCATAATCGTTCGTCCCTCAGTCAAATCATCATGAACGCCAGGGGGGCTAATAACCGAAGGCCACGCAATGCACATCACTTAGAAAGATTTTCCAAGTCCTGGAATGATTGGCCCTTGGTCAACTCAGCATCCAACCAAAGGCTCAACGGTATAACCACACTCGAGAATTTTCTAAGTCCTGAACTACAAGCGCCCGGCCATCAGTGGAGGAGGGCTCACAGCTTACACAACAGAAAGGATACAAAAGAGAATGACGACCGAAGGCAAAAGTTGTGATCAACACTTAGAAAAATATTCTAAGTCCTAAAAATTGGTGCCCTCGGCCAGCTCATGACGGCTACCCAAGTTCAGAAGGAAGCATCGACCGAGGGCCCGGTACTGAACAAACACTTAGAAAATATTTCTAAGTCCTAAATGGCTGGCAATTCAAACATCAAAATACAGAGGTAGTCATCCACAACAAAAATGAAGGCATCCATTCAAAAAGCAGACAAAGAGAAGAAGGTATTCATTAACGAAATGGAAAAACAAATTGTTATACATAAAGGCCGAAGTCGAAGGATTGTACATGTACATCACAAGATTTATTCAAAGTTTATACAAGGGCGGGGTTATCATAAGCTGCAGCAGCACCCCCTCGACAGGCTTCAAAGTGGCATCCCCTTCGGCCCCTTCCTCTTCATCCCCGACCTCCTTCAGCATCTCAGAATCCTCTAAGTCTGCACTCTCGACATCTGCAGGGAGGGGGACTCTGATGTTAGGTTGGAGGGGGGGAAGACCATATGCCGCCGGATCAAAATCTTTCGGCTCAATCTTCAAATGTCGGGCCAGCCTTCTATCCTTCTATAGATGAGGGCCTGGGTAAAGAACTCTCCCCCAGCATAATAGTCCTCGCCCTTCCGAGATAGCCACATCGCCCTGGGGCCTTTCACCCACTCATCGGCGGATGCCTCCACTACCGAAGCCACCCAGTCCTTGTGGCCTTCGACCCTCCACCCCTCGGAGATGAAGGCAGCAACAGCACTGGCGATAGCTTCCGCCTTGGCGGCCTCGGCCTCCTCAGCAGCCTTCTTCGCGGCCTCAGCAGCGGCCCTCTCGCCTTCAGATTTCTCCTTGGCAGCTCTCTCTGCCTCGGCCTTCGCCTGCTGCAGCTCCCCCTCCAGTCTAGCCATCTGCCTCACGGCCTCAGCGTTATCATGGATGAGCTTCTTCATGGCTTCATCCTGTTGCGCCTTCTGGAGGTGCCATTCATCAAACCTCCTAGAATGTTCACCGAGGGCTATGCAGGCCTGTGAACAAAGGACAAAGGAGTTAGACTGTAATACGAATATGCCGAAATGGGTAACGAAAGGGGAAAGAAACTTACAGTGAGGGAGGACCGGAGGATCTTTGACTCGAGGGTCTCATCATCAAGCTTGCTGAGGGCTTTCCTATCAAGCGAAGGAGTATCCCCGCTCAGAAACTCCCGAGGGTCCACAGTGCCATGTGTAATGGCAGCCCCCTTCAGCAGGGAGAACTGTATGTCCTCCCGGGGCAAGCCTACTTCACCCCCCTGTGCCGAGGGAAGGTTGGAGGCAGTAGTGGCCACCAGAACTTATGGCTGGAAGGTGGAGTGCTCATCCACGATCAGCACCGGGGGAGCCTTCTTCCCGGCATCCCCCTTTTTTGGCCTCTTTCCCTCGGGGACTGGACCCTTGCCTGTTGCCTTCCTCTTGGCAGCATCCCCTAAAGGATCACCATTCTTCTTCAAAAACTCCCTGAGGGGCTTCTGCTTGCTGGGCTCCTTCTTATCCGGACCCTTTGTTTTTTGCTTCTTCAAAGCGGCGAAGGCATTGATATCCATGTTAACACCTGCAAGACATCACAAGTAAATAAGGCAGAGGGGTCAGAACAAAAGAAAAATAAAAGATGCAAAAATCCTAAGTACAGGAGATAGAACCCTCGGGAACCACCTCCTGTGCTATCGAAGGCCCGATCGAAGATGGGGTATTTCTCATCTGTTTCCCCCAAGAAACGATAGTGCGGAAAGTCGAGGAGATACAAATCATCCTCGAGGGTGCATTCCTTGATCGTCACGTTCTTCAAACGACCCTTCAGAATCTTGGCAAGCACCTTGCCATCCTTCTCGAGGGCGGCGCTCCTAACCCTCTCATGTAGGGTTGGCAATTTGAACCGAAAAACCGAAAACCGAACCGAAAAAAACCGAACCGTCAAAGAAAAAAACCGAACCGAACCGAACCGAAAAAATTGGGACCCGAAAATTGGGACCCGAAGTCTATCTCGATTCGGTACCGGTTTTTGATATGATAAAGGTCGGTTGAACCGAACCGAACCGAAAATATATATTATTTATAAAAATCAATATTTGTAAATGGCTATAAGGAACTTGAAGAACTAGAGCAAAGTAAATGGCTAACTTTCTTGAGTAATTTATAACTAATATTAATTACTATTATTATTATTGTTGTTGTTGTTATTGTATTTGTTGTTGTTATTAAAAGTCCAAAACTACTAATATAGGTATGCCTAATGTAGTGCAAGTGCCACCATCTCTTCAAAGAAATTTAGCATTACCACCCCTACCATCACACTCTCAAGTTCAAAGCCAACTCCCACCAAGTTCACGTGTAGGTTCAAGAGGGGCTCCATCAAGAACAAGAAAACGTGGAAGAAGTATTGCATCATCTACTCATCCGTGACAACTTGATGAAGGTTTTTTTTTCATATTTTCATTCCCAATATATTAACTCTTATTTATGATATATTGTCCTCTAACTAACTCTAAATTATTACATGTATGGGCGTATGGCAGTCCAATATATTAATTATTAATATTTTTTATTTACATGTCAAATGCAGGAAGATAAATGGCAGTACACCGTACACATGCTCTCAACTTTGATGTTCTTCGTTAGTTGATTTGGATGTTCTTGAACATTGTCCTTTTAAATTAAACTCAATGCATGTGTCTACTTTTGAATTTAGTTTTGATTTGTTCCCAAAATATGGGATGTTGAATGTTGGATTTGTTTATCACTTTATTGTTTAATGTTGGATTTGTTTTGAAATAGACTGATGGATTTTATTATTCGTGTTGTTGGATTTTATTATTGTTGGTGAATGATCGATATTAAAATTGTGTGTTAATTTTTTAGTTAGCCTAGTGATTCAGTACTTGATTATAGTCTTCTTCATATGATTCTCTATTGTCTTTGCTTAAAAAAATGTAGTTCAGCAGGAATATATTTTTACAGGTCTTACTTTGGATATTAAAGAAAATATAATCGGGTCCCAGTCAAACCGAACCGATAATTCGGTTCCCAAAAAATCGGTTCCCGAATCTATATCGGTTCGGTTCCGGTTTCCATTATCCCCAAAACCGAAAAATCGGTTCGGTTCTACAAACCGACAAATCGGTTCGGGTCCCAAATCGAACCCAGCCCTACTCTCATGTCGCCTGAAACGATCCCGCAGCTCCCTCGGGAAGGGGCTCTCGGCTAGTCTAACATAGCACCATCGGTCCTTCCAGCCCTTGTTAGAAGAAGGCGCCTCAGTAAATAGTCTCCACTGGGTGATCTGTTACAAATTTGCAAACCCCTCGGCGTTTGCATGGCCTCCTCGGCAAAGATTAAAGCTTTGGAAGAACAAGTCCAAGCTAGGTGTCACCCCATGGGACCGGTAGAGGTGAAGAAACCCAGTGATATATGAGTGGTTGTTTGGGGTGAGTTGGCAAGGGACCAAGCCCACAAACCGGAGGTACTCGTGAAGGAAGGGGTGAAGGGGGAACCAAAGGCCCATTGAAACGGAGAGAATATGCACTGCAATGCACCCCTCGGGCGTCCGGGAAAGAACATCTTCAGGGCCTGGTTGTATCACTGTCGCTGAGGGCTCTACATGCAGCTGGGTCACATAGCATTCTGCCTTATCAGCCATCGACTTCAGAACCAGGGCCCGGAATGAGTATCCCTCGGGCATATCGACGGGCTTCCCTACATCCGCGACACTACCCTTCTTCTTGGGAGCCTTCGCTTTCTTCTTGCCCTTAGCCGAGGGCGCAGTCTTGAGGGGCTCCAGACTGAGGGCTCGTGAAGTCCCTTCCCCAAGTGCGATAGCCGAGGGTATAGCGACAGTCACCTGGAGGCGTTCCCTCTCCTTCTCCTCCTCTTCAATAGCCGTCTGCATGGCAAGGGCCATCTCCTCATCTTCAACTACTTGCTCAAACTCCTCTGCTTCGGCCTCGGCCACCAGATCTTTTTGGACTTCCATGGCTACAGCGGCGTCACCACTTACCGAGGGCTGCCCATTGGAGGATTCCACGTCTGAGAGGGTCTCCACCTCTACCGAAGCCTCCCTTGAAATATCTTGAGAGTCACTACCCAAAGACATTTTTCGTACACTAAAGCCGAAGGGTTCTAAAGAAGGTTCTAAAGGCTCTAAGGCTCTAACACTTAATCTATGGCCGGAAATCGAAGTATACTAAGCAAACAGAGAATGGAGCAAGAACTGGCCTCGGGAAGTCGGTTTTGATCGAAGGAATACTTTTTCTCTCTAGAAGAATTTGGTCAGAGCTTCGCTACAATGAATTCGCACAAGGAGATATGGCCCTGGCCTTGGGGTATTTATAGACTCCACAATCCGGGCTTGGGCCGGAAACCGGGGCCCCTGACGCCGAAGTCATCATTGCAAACCGTCGTTTCGACCAGCCAGTGGCACCCGCCCTCCTTCGGCCAACGAGCACGCGCCACGTGGACTCCACCTCCAATGGTCATATTACAACGGCCATATTCTGAGAGCCCGTGGGTACCCCCTCGGTAAAACGCTCCTTCACCCAAACAATGAACCAGCCCTCGGGCAATCATATTCATGGCCCTTCATCAAATAAGAGCCCCCGGCTTCACAACGTGGAACCCCCCGAGAACCCTCACACCCTAATATGTGGAAAACCGGGGAACCCTCCAGGGTAACACACTCATCAGTGGTTAGCCTCCGACATAATTCACGAGAGCCCTCGACAACACAGGAACCATCTCCTACACTCATCATGCCCCCAACCTCGATGATTGAGGAACTCCCCTTGGCACCTCTCGGGATATGAACAATTAGCCTCCGGCTAATCAACGAACACGCCCCCGGATCAAGGGCACCTTTGGTATCAATCTGGCCCTTCACCTCAGGCCAAAGTTTCACCTTTTTCGATTCATCATTGGGGGAATTCGGTGCACTCTTTTTCCCCCATTAGGATTTTTTCCCACATGGTTTTTCCTAATGAGTTTTTAACGAGGCATCCCCCCTAAATGAAACGAAAAACGTCAACCTTCGGCACCATGATAAAAACGGGCACAACTCTACTCCTTTTCACCACTTTACAAGCGCTTCAAGGAGTGGGGGACTGGAGAACCCCCCCGGGAAAATCACAAAAGGTGAAATGTCAAAAATCTCCCCGAAGCAACATATTCCCTCAAGTCCCAAAATGTGGGGGACTGAGGGACTGCCCTCGGCAAACAATGCAGACGAAGAACTCCTCACAACTCCACAAACTACAAGGCAAAACGCCAGCATCGGAGGACAAACGCATTTACTCCTTTTCCCTCAAGTACCTTTCGGAAAAAGGAGTGAGGGACTCCTGATGGAGTATATGGCCGAGGGACCCCCGGCCCATAGACTCCCATTACTATAACAAAGGCCCAACAGGTCCAGGAAGCACAACAGGTCCAAATTACAGCGTCCCGAGTAACAGGAAGCCGACGGTGCATATAGGCATGCCTTCAGCCCCCAGGCCGAAGGCTCTAGATTCTCACAGAGCAGACAATATACACATGCGGGACTACTGGGAGAAAACGGTGAAAACAGCAGACCTCGGCACCTCGAGCCCTCGGCACCTAGAGGCCCCCGGTACGAAGAGCCTTCGGCTAATCATCTACAGACGAAGGCACCTTCCTTGACAGAATCTCCTCTCCACATGCGCCTGGATCGCCGTACCATGTACAAACGTCACATCCAACCGCCGCATTTGATGCGGCCACATGGGATTGCAAGTGCCACCCCGATTGACGTGACCCTCGGTCGTCGGATGCTTGACACGTGTCCTCGTCTCACGTTTATTGCTGCTATAAATAGCACCCCATTTCCCCTTTGTAAACCACGCTAAATTCATATCGAACATACACTTTATCTCTCTTACTATTACTCTGACTTCTCTCTAAGTTATTCCCCGCAGTAACCCCTCGGATAGATACCCGGGTACACTATCCATCAAATAATAATAATAATAATAATAATAGTAATAATAGTAATAATAGTAATAATAGTAATAATAGTAATAATAGTAATAATAATAATAATACTAATAGTGATAGAGTATATATCTAGAGAGAAGTGAGAGCTAGACAGAGAAGTAGTATAATTGCTCTGTATTAATGATTTGTGTGAACCCTTTACATGGCTCCCAAGGGGAGTATTTGTAGAGGAAATTAGGGCCGGGCTCCCAAGTCTTGGGCTTGGGAGGCCCATTTACAATTGGGCCACTACTGGGCCGAGTACAAAGAGTGTAAAAATAACTAAGTATGAAATCTGGTTCTGGGAGTTCTCTGTGGCCGAAGGAGGTTCAGCCGAAGGAGGCAGCTGGACGATCGGGACACGGCCAATGGAGGACCATTCGAGCTGATTGCTGCCTGAGCCATATTCTGAGCTGACTATTGCCTGGCCGACGGGGGCGCCGGCTGACGGAGGCACTGACCGACGGGGGCACCGGCCGATGGAGGACAATTCGTCTCCTTGGCTTTTGGACCGTATTCTGGATCGACTCTTCTTCGGCCGATGGAGGGCCATCTGGCCGAAAGAGGACCCACTGG